TTTCTTTTTCTTTTTTTAATGTGGCCAAGGAGCTCGGCTCTCTCGGTGCCACACTGGGATCCGCCTGGCAGCCGCCGGGAGCCGCAGCCAATGTGTTAGGACTTCAGGTGCTTTTTGGCACAAAGCTAGACTGCGACCTCCTACCATAGCGCTTGGCGTCACCTGCTCTCCCGGCCCTGCCCCGGGGCCGAGGGATTGCGTCCCGAACCAGGCTTGGGAACCGGCTGCCTCTCAAGTTGGTGTTATTTATGTTTGTCTTTTGTGAGGGCAGGTTTTGAGTCCCCCGGCGGCCTCATCTCCCCCGCCCCCGCCCCCTCGGGTTCGAATTGGCCGGGGAGGGAGTGGGGTGTATGTGTAGGGGGGGGGAGGGTGTGTAAGGCTTAAACAAATGTCAGGGTACAAGGAGATTGTCGATGCTTTACCAAAAAACAGGCACCACACTCTCAAGCCTTTCTTGTTTGTCTGCATGGGCCATGCATGCGTGCTGGGCCAGGAGCCGAGTTTGGAGGCGGTTTCAGTGAAAGTGTGTGCTTCCTCAGCTGATTGTGCGTGAGGGTGATATGGCTCGGCCTAATATTAAAAGACAAAACAAAGCAAAACAAAATGAAAAATCTTTAGCACGACATTGTCTGCGCCTCGGCAGCTCTTGAAGTATTTGATTACTGGCATATTGATATAAAATCCAGCTGTGGGCTAGTGGAGACCAGCAAGCATGCATTGCGTTGCATTTTGAGCTTGTAGGAAGTTAGAGGCAAGTAGGAATAAACAAATCAGGGTTATGAGAAGAGGTTTCATGTTATGTTTGCTTTCTGATCGTCACGTTCTCCTACATTTATTCCCATGATATTCTACACCTCACTCTATAATGAATACTATCCACTCTTAGGAAACTTCCCAATATTAGATGTAACTGAACTTAGAGTGAAAGTTACTTTCATGTGAGAACTTTCTTCTGCTTGTTTTGGTCTGAAATGTACTAATGTTGTTTTGGGGATGCTGCAAATCAGAATATTGGACCAGAAAGAGTGAAATAAGCCTCTGTAGGCATATTATGGACTTTGTAAACATAGAATCCAAACTTTGAATTGTGCTTACCCAGAAAGATTAAATTCTACCTGATGTGGAGCATCCCAAATGAAATTCGTTTTTTTTTTTTTTTTTTTTTTCCTGGACAGTTTGATGGTATCTTAAAGATCTAGGGACTGCTGTTTTTTTTTTTTTTTTTTTAAGACCATTCACAAAAGCAACCAAAACTTAGGCTAAAGTAGTGTGCTTATGTGTAACTCGTGTGTGTATTAGTGCGTGATTTCGGTAGGGACCTCCAAATTGAAACATTTTTGTTACCAAGGACCAATCAGAGTTATAACTTTTAAATTCTTGGCTTTTAAATGACCATTTCAATAAGTAATTTTTTTTTCTGTTTGATATATGACTGAGTCACTTTGAAAAGTGTATTCTTGGTTGACTAAACGTAAATTTTCAAATAAGTAAATGAATGCAGAAATTCATTCTTTTCTATTACAGATGAACCTCTAGTCTTGCTTTGAAAAAGCCATTTTGTGTAACTCTTGACTGAATAATTTCCTAATACACCTGTTGGGAGGATCACTGATACAGTATGCCATTTGAGAGGTACTTTTTCTTGACCAAATACTCTCTTGATTAGAGAAGAGAGGTGTTTTGTTTTTTTGTTTGTGTTTTCCTGGTCATTATGAACATTGGCTTTTCACCCCTGAAGTAAAAATGTTGAAAACCGAGTCTTCAGGTGAACGAACCACTCTCAGAAGTGCCTCTCCTCACAGGAATGCATATAGAACTGAGTTCCAGGCACTGAAAAGTACCTTTGACAAACCCAAGTCAGATGGGGAACAAAAAACAAAAGAAGGTGAGGGCTCCCAGCAGAGCAGGGGGAGGAAATATGGCTCCAATGTCAACAGAATTAAAAATCTATTTATGCAGATGGGTATGGAACCCAGTGAAAATGCTGCGGTCATTGCCAAAACAAGGGGGAAAGGTGGACCTTCATCTCCACAGAGAAGAATGAGGCCCAAAGAATTCCTGGAAAAAACAGATGGCTCAGTTGTTAAGTTGGAGTCCTCTGTTTCAGAACGAATTAGTAGATTTGACACAATGTACGATGGCCCTTCATATTCTAAGTTCACAGAAACTCGGAAGATGTTTGAGAGAAGTGTGCATGAGTCAGGACAAAACAGCCGCTATTCCCCAAAGAAAGAGAAAGCTGGAGGGAATGAACCTCAGGACGAATGGGGTGGCTCCAAGTCCAACAGAGGCAGTACTGATTCCTTGGACAGCCTTAGCTCCCGGACGGAGGCTGTTTCCCCAACTGTGAGTCAACTGAGTGCAGTATTTGAGAACACTGATTCCCCCGGTGCCATGGTTTCTGAGAAGCCTGAAAACGAATACTCAGTGACTGGGCATTATCCCCTGAATCTACCATCTGTTACTGTTACAAATCTTGACACCTTTGGTCACCTTAAGGATTCAGATTCTTGGTCTCCTCCAAGCAAACACGGTGATGATGCAGAGGATGCTCAGAAGAGTAATACAAGTCCAGTACCAGAAGTGGCTTCGAAAAGTACCTCTCTAGCTTCAGTGCTTGGTGAAGAAACACAGCAGAGCAAGGAAGCCGAGGACTCCACATCTAACCAAGAGACTCCTGACAGAATTGACAGAGATCTTCCTGAGGAACCTTGTGCTGCAAATAAGGCGATGCCAGAGTCTGAAATCCTTTCACCACAAAACGAACCTTTAGAAGATGCCGAAGCTAATTTAGTTGGGAGTGAGGCAGCAATGCATCAGAAGAAAGAACTTGCAGGTGGTGATTTTACCTCTGCTGATGCTCCTGGATCCAGTTGTGGAAAGGAAGTACCCGAAGATTCAAATAATTTTGAGAGTTCCCATGTTTACATGCACAGTGACTATAATGTGTATAGGGTAAGATCCAGGTATAATTCAGACTGGGGAGAGACAGGCACTGAACAGGATGAGCAGGAAGATAGTGATGAAAACAATTACTATCAACCAGATATGGAGTACTCGGAAATTGTTGGATTGCCAGAAGAAGAAGACATCCCAGCAAATAGGAAAATTAAGTTTAGTAGTGCTCCAATTAAGGTAAGTATGTTTTCTCAGTTTGGTTTTGAAGTTTTTCCTAAGTTTGTTTGTGTTTGGTTTTGTCTTGTTTTTTTTTTTTTTTTTAATATTTGGGCCTAAATGTTTGCAGCATAGATTTGACAGCCCTAAGGATTTCGAGGTTGTTAAGATACCCGTGTTGTCAGGTGATTTTAAAAGTTTGGGAGAGATCCACATATTTCCTTAATATGCTTTATGGTTGCATAAACCAGTATTGGCTAAGAGTAAAGTTGAAGAAGTTTGGGGATTGTGAGATACATTCCAATGGACTGGAGTATGAATGACACGTACACTGAAAACCAGGAGGGTTAGTTTGAAACAGAATTACCTCTTTAACTGATTTTACCTAAAATTAGCCAGAAGTGAGAAAATTTCCTGAATCCGAACACTCTAGGATATGAGGTATAATGTACAATGGGAGAGTTATGGTGACCTTGAAATAATAGTCTTATTTACTTGCTTAAAACATCTGAGTTATCTCTTACTTGAGTGTAAGTGGATTGTGAGGAATGTTGAAACTTATCTCTTTTTTTGTACTGCTACTTGGTAGTGAAAGTTTGATTCATGGAAATATATTAGCGGACTTAAATGCTTTAATTGGAAAGCTATGACTGTAAGTAGCTTTGAGTTCAGGATTTGTGATGTAGCACTGAAATGAAATTTTATGAAAGGAAATTAAATTGATTTGTCATTCCGGGATATATTTTTACCTCTTAAAAACTGAATAAATGCCAGTTGAAATCAGATTCTCTATTCTAATGACTTCACTTAGTTAACATTCGGTATAGAAGAAATAGCACAATGTACATCAGTAGCGGGTAGTGAAACATTATTAGCTGATAACGGCAATAGGGGCAGGAGGTAGTGGGTTGAATATCACAGTCTCCTTGGAGTGGTTTTTCAACGTGTACTTGCGCACCAGCTCTGTCCTAAGATTGTGGCATGCCCTCCTAGGGGAATCTGGAAGGTTGTGGTGGTAGAATGTGTAGTCTGAAACCACTTCCTAGGGACTTCTAGCTTATCCAATATGTATGTGTCATAGATTTGGAATTTGATACGGTATCTTTTAAAAGAATCTAAAATCACTGTCTGTTGTTATTTCCACCTTATGAAACTTCCATATAAGGCTGTAAGGTCTGTAGATTTACAAAGCAAAGAGAAATTTGACTTTGTCTTAATTATGAAATACTATTTTGAAATAAAGTGATAACCTGTGAAATTATTTATGGATGTTAGCAGGCAAACTTTCATGTCATTAGTGTAAGACAAAAGCTCTGGGACAGAATGGGCCATGTCAAGTTAAGCTATGTTTAAAATAACTGTAGATGTGTTATAAAATAACTAATATAGTGTGGTTTCAGAGTAAGCCAAGTTTCTTGGCTGTGCTTTTCCACTTTCCATTGTGAGCCTCTCCCCTACTCCCCCTCCCCCCCCCAATTCTAGGCTCTCTCTTTAGAGGTGTCTTTCCCTCAGGCCTAACCAGAGAGCTCCAAAATTTCACCATGCGTGTTTCCTTCCCAAGTGTTCTCCTTTGAACATCATCTTTTTACCCCTTAGGAAGAAAGCAATAAGATTAAATTGTTTCACATTGAGCAAGGCAGGAATAACTGAAATGAACTCTTCAAGGAGTTTGTTAAAACCAGTGACTAACTCCCTAATGGGGATAGCAGCTTATGAAAATTTATCAAGTCCAGCACTACCTACTCAACCAAAAGGGGCACCAGCCTTGTATTTGGGTCCTGTGCTGCCCCAAACGTAACTGCACAGTAATAGATGTAATGAATTTTAAAGGATTTCTCTTTGAAATATGGCTGTTTATATGTGAACAAATCAGGTTTGGGGTATGATATTCTGAAATTCAAGTGATTTTTTCCCTCCTACTATTGCTTATAAAAAAAGCATTTTGCCTCTTAACTGTCACGTAATAAAGAAACTGTATTTCATACAACAAAGAATGAAATAGATTACATGCATAAAAGTTTAACACATTTTATCAAGAACATAGATCAAGATTAAAGTTTGTGAAACAAAAATAATGCACTGCGTTTTAGTGGGCAGTTAACAGTACTAGTTGGAGTGGATTAAGTTTGCAAACAAAAGATTCATTCTTAGTCCTTTGTAATGAATAAGACAATTGCTCTTTGTTGTTGTTCTGATTGTTTAGCATGTGAGTGGATTCACTTGGGAATTTTGAGAGCTACTTTTCTACTGGTGGTGGTGATGGTAGAGTTTAGATTATTCTCCAATTAAGATTTTTGCCTCAGAGGGTGGTAATAATTAAATTCAATAAGTATTTATTGAAGGCTTGTCATGTGTCTGTTTTCATGCTGTTAGCTGCAGAAGACACACAAATCTGTAATGTTACCTCTCTCTTATGTGAGCTGGTGGAGTCAATTCTTAAACTTGATATTTAAAACCCACATAACAGTCTGAAAACCTGTGCTGAAATGTCTAATGTCCTATGAGGACTTTAGCTGTCCTTGGCTGTGCTAAATGCATGGACTGAACAGGATTTGATAGACCATTTGGAAGGGAGAAAATGCTGAGCCATTCCCTATGTATGTTTCCTTATTCTTTTTATAAAGATTCACTTATGGGATGGTAGATTCTGATTTCCAACTTAAATCTTTTTCCTTTGAAATTTAAACATACTTCCTCTTTTAGCAACAAAAAGTGGACATATTCCTTACAAAAATGATCTTTGGAACTTTTATATTCTTTTCCTGATAGTCTCATCTTAAGTCTTCACCAGGGTAGAATTTCTCAACACTTTCAGACTTTTGTTTTACGTCTTGTTTATGATCTTTGTATGTGTGATCATGTCCTCGGTTTTTATTTCAATTCTTCTCTAGATGCCTTGAGTCTGTATTTTCCCAAGATACCTTAAATCTGACCTAGAAAAACATCAGAGTAATAGCTGATCTTCCCTGTGTAGCATATTACTTATAAATAATTGTTGGTGAAATTTAGAAATGCATTGTTTCTTAATGGATTGGTTGATGTGTTTCATAGTGTCAAAAATGGGATTAATAATGGAAAATATAAAATCCAAGTTTGAGATATGGAATGAGAGTGTTATGAACCATGCTAATTTGAGATGTGGAATTATGCCTTCATTCTCAGGAATTTCTCAAAACCAAGAGATCCAATTCATTGAATTTGCTTTAAATGAATCCAGGATAGAAAAGGTGACATTTTTCATTGTTTGCCCCCCCGCCCCATTATTTCAGAACATTTACTGAGCCCTTACTATGTGTCAGGAACAATGCAATATACAATAAAATGTAATAAATGCATAAAATGACTGGAGCTGATCAGGTCAGCGAGTGCTGGTAGATGAAATGTATAGCCCATTAAGGACGCTTCTCAGGCTATTCTGCTCAACTGTTCTTTGATATTCTTTCTTAGGTCACTGCAACCTTCTTAAGGAAGTCCTAACCCTTTCTCTGTTTCCGGTAGCCTTTTGTCCTTTGGATAGGTGTTCTTGAAACACAGCAGAGATGAAAAAGGTTATTTTCCTAGTTTACAGCAAGAGGGAGATTATAGGGTTAATGATAGTGTAAGATATATTGCGCTGTACTTTTCTGAGTGTTTTCTCAAACTGTTTGGAGCTTTACAGAGCTGAGATTCAAAGGAGAATCACCAAGGGCAGTATTGCTTCTCTAAACCTTACATGATACTTGTTGAAAGTGGGTCTCAGCATTCTCTATCTCTTCTGGAACTCTGAGTTGGTACACAGGGCATATATGAGACTTTATATTCAGGATACTGTTCAGGATGTAATGCTGAGATCCACATTTCTGTCTTTTTCTTTCTTCAGATAGTCTCCCTCGGTGCTCTTAAACTTTAATATGCTTATAAATCACCTGGGGATCTTTTAAAATGCAGATTTCCGATTCAGTAGGTATTTTGTGGGAAATTATCTGGATGCAATGGTTAGCCTCCAAGTACACTACCAGCATTCCTACAGGTTGTGGAATTGACAGGCTCAGCAACCAAATTAAAAGTTTGAATCACACAGTTTCAAACACACAGCCAGTAGCAAGAGGAAAGCCGTGGGGTAAGTTAGCACACTTAAGGTGCAAAGGTTGAAAGGACCACACTATGGGAGGCCTGGGTACACAGTATTCATGTGTCCTGACTCTCTTTCACATCACTCTTCCCATTGAGGGTGTGGTCAGAGTTGATTTTTGAGTAAGGGCTCTACGTACTAGTAATACTCTGGGCTCATGATAATTCTTGCTCTATAGAAGAGAGTAGGTACAAGTACACTTACATACAACTGTAGTTTTGCCAGTTTCCCTGGTTTTATTTGTGTTTCTTGGGTAAAGCACCTGTGGGTCTGGAATAAGACCAGGATGGGCGTCCTCGGTGGGTGGCTCATATGGAGATGATACAGCTGCCAGTCCAGAGATAGAATGATGATGATTTAGTCTTCCCATGTCTTTCTTTCTACAAGTGAACCTCTCGTTTGTTCCATCATATTTTCTATTTGGGGATGTCTTATGGCTTACTAACTTAACTATTTTTAACACATCTTATGAATTTTGCCTTTGTTTTAGAAGTTCATAGGCTTTTATTATCTATACCTAATTGGGTCTCTTGAGTGTTGCCTTTACCTCATAAGCTATTAGCTTCCTTACCATCAATGACTATCACTTCTTATGAGTTTTATCCATCCCATTTATTTTCTTGACCTTTATAACAGAATTTAATATTCTTGAATAATACAGCAGATTCACAGAACATTAGGTCTCAGGTGAGACTGCATTCTCAAGTGGGTGCAGAGGCTGCTGGTCAACAGATGAACTCTTTGGAATCTGATTGTGAAGTACAGTCTTTTGGCTTCTGAAAGGAGCCGGTCACAAAATGTTGGGGAAGCCCATTTAACACATTTGCTTTCCAGACCCATCTGCTGTGGATGTTTGTGTAAAGTAATATTCTTTGCAGCTGAAACAGGTGTAAAGTAGTAATGTGCATGA